GTTCAAGCTTATGGTGCAAAAAGGCTTCTTAGGTGAGACACTGGGCTGTTTTAACCGAACATGTTGCCCTTTTGTTCAAGGAAAAGCAGGAGCATCCATCCCCCTGTTGGGGGAAAGCAGTGAGACAACTGTCCTGGGAATGGCTTGGGGGTCTTCAGCTCTACCCTGGGTAGACCTTTGGCTGTGGCCAGACCTTCCTTTGAGGAAAGGGTGGTAGCAGGCAGAGATGCAGATCTGTTCTCCTTCTACAGATCCAGGCTAGGCAAGAGCTCATGAACCTTTGGCTATTTCATTAAACCTGCACAAGTGCTCCCAGACACAGGGAACAAATGGCAGGAAATAGATATGGTCAAGTGAAGCAAGGCCTGAGCTGAGGTTTAGCAGCTCTATGTGAGGAAAGGCTATGGCTCTGTATGGCAGAAGCTGTGTCCTGGTTGGTGGCACTGGGTGCCAGCAGCACATGTCAGCGTGACCTGTACTCACCTGCCAACGACCTTTGCTCTCACCAGGGCCCTGGCAGTACTCAGGAGATCTTGTCATCTCTCTCCCTTGCTCCAAAGTGTGGCCAAGAACTGTCTTTTTGCTGCTGTAGCCATGTAAATGATGGCATTACTTGCCTGTCCTCTGGATCTAGTGAAGGTGTTAAAGCCTGGCAGTGGCAGCATCTTGTCCAAAAAAGAGCTGGATGTGGCCCTTGCTCTGTCCTCTGTGGGGCAGCAAACAGGCTCCCTCTGGAGTGCAGAGATGCTGCCTGTGCTGGGAGGATCTGCTTGTGCTGACAGAGGCAGGAGTCACAAGATCACCCCCCTCATGCAAGGGGATTGGAACTAGATGATCTTTAAGGTCCCTTCCAACCTAAGCCATTCTGTGATCAGAGGCAAAGGTGTTGGGAGCAATCAGGACACATGGCAGGATGTGACTGTCTCTTTTTATCCCCGACAGGTCGCAAGGCAGGGAAAGGCTTTTATGTTTACCAGGAGGGGGTGAAGAACAGGAGCGTGAATTCTGGCATGGAGGAGATCCTGGAGCGATTCAAAATGCCAGCCAATCCTGAAGTGTGAGTGGCTGTGGTGGGGCTGGCTCTCACCCCTGCCCAGCTCCTTCTGCCTGTGAAGAGCTCAAGGCCTGCTTCAGGCAGCTCTGGGGGACACTGCTGAACATGGAGTCACTCCAGAAGGCATTTGACTCTTGCCAGCTGGTGTGCAGGGAGGCAGGCTGCTGGCTGTGCACAGCCTGTGCTGGCAGGAATTGGGTTTAGCAGCATTTGCTTGGGCATCTTTATGGAAAGCTTTTCTGTGGTGGGGCTTGTCAGGGCAGGCAGGTTGATACAGCCCCTGCCATGGCCTTCCTGGTGTTCGACCTGGCACTGAAACATCTTCTGGATGTTCCCACCTGGCCTGATCAAGCCTTTGCCATTCTTACGTGCCTGCCTCAGGCCACAGTGCAGGCCTTAGTCCTTATCCTTCCATAATTAGGGACATTCTCAGTGGGAAACCATTTACTCCCCTACCCCAGCCCTGGCTCTCTCCCCTCTCTGTGCTGGCTTTGCATGCTTCTCCATCCAGCTGCTGCATTACCTGCACCGCCCTCACAGCCTCTCTCCTTGCAGCTGCACTGATGAGGACATCCAGATGCGCTTGGTGACGAGGTTTGTGAACGAGGCAGTGATGTGCCTGCAGGAAGGGATCCTCAGCACCCCTGTGGAGGGAGATATCGGTGCTGTGTTCGGCTTGGGCTTCCCGCCGTGCCTGGGAGGTAAGTATGTTGGGCTGGGCTGCCTGGCTTGGCTAGAAAGCTTCCTGGTGGGATTGCCCAAATGGGCTGTAGTCACCAGAGCCAAATCAGCTGCCAAGGCTAGAGTTGAGCTGCAGTCTAAGCCTGGGTGTCCTTCTCCCACATAAAGCCTGAGACAGAAGGGTTGCTCCAGCATTCCTACCCTGTGAGAGATGGTAGTGAGCCCAAGAGCCTCTGTGAGACTTGTCACTGCTGTTCCACAGAGCAGTGGTGAGAATCAAGGGGCTCTAGCCAGGCCGTCTGCTGTGTCTGCAGGTTTGGGTGAGAAGGCAGAGCTGTGCCGTCCTCAACCTCATCAGCACTTCCCCATAATAACTCCAGAGAAGGAGCTTTTACCACACCTCTTGAAGGTGCAGGTGGGCTGGGGGATTTGCAAGGGCCCCACATGTTTATGAAATGCCTGGGTTTTGTGCAGCCATGTGGTGCTTGGTGAAAAATGAGGCTCTAGTATCTTCTGCCACTGCCCTGGGCAAGCAGGTACCTTGCAGCACTTCTGGAAAGAGAAAGGATGCCCAGGGTTCCCCCCATGCCTGCACAGGGCACAGATAAAGCTGAGCTGATAATCTCAGCCACGATGCACAGTGCTTTTCAGGCCAAGGTACTAGCTGAGAGCATGGGCAAAATTCTCCTGGACCTGTCTGCAGCCTGGCTGGGTGGCCTCGGCCACGGCCTGGGCAGTGGATGAAGCCCAAGTGGAGGTTTGGGTCCCATCTGAAGGATCTTAAAGGCTTTTGGGGATGAGGTGGTACTTCTGCCGAGTACCTGGCACTTCCCCTCCTTGAGGTGAGCTCAGACTAAGGGAACAGCCCTGAGGATCTGTGCCCCAGCTTCTCCCCAGCCACCCACTCCACCTCCACTTAGCGCAGGTGGCCAGGCCAGGAGCAGAGTCCTGCAGAGATACCAGGAGTCTCGTGAAGAAGGACAAAGGCAGTGTCCTCACCCCTCCAGGCACCTCTGTGCCTCTTTCCCAGGCACAGATGTGTCCCCCTGTCCCTGACAGGTCCCTTCAGGTATGCAGACTCGTATGGAGCCAGGCAGCTGGTGGACAAGCTGCGCAAGTACGAGGCCGTCTACGGCAGCCAGTTCACGCCGTGCCAGCTGCTGCTGGACTATGCCAACAACCCAGGCAAGAAGTTCCACCAGTGAGGGGGGCCTGACACCGCCCGCCTGGGACAGCTCCAGCCGGGGCCACCGGCTCTCCAGCGACACCCCATTCTCTAGGTTAATCTGCAAAGCACCCAGGGGAGGAAGGAGGGTGGCAGCGGGTTGCCTCGTGGCTTGTAGTCATTTCAAGTGCCTTATCAGCTGCTGTGTGTTGGGCACGTCCGTCCCGTGCCAGCGTGGGCCTGGTGCCTCCTTGCTGGGAGAGAGAAATTCATCTGCATTCACCTCCGTGCTGTGACCTCCAGGGCTCCTGCTCTGGCAGCATCCAGCATGCAGCTGGCCCTGAGGCTTGGCCTTTCCGTAAACCTCCAACAAAATAAATCCCCATCTCCTGGGTTTGGACTCCATGCCTGCTTCTCCTCCCGTCCCACTGGGGCAGCAGCCTCTTGGCACCAAGGAAGGGAACCGCTCGAGTCGGAAATAAAGCGTTCAGGCAATCCTCTGGGGTCTTCTCTGTGCTTGCCAGAGGGAGGGGAAAGACAGGGGGTGATGGCAGTGAAGAACAAAGACCATCTCTGTCACCTCTGCCATCAATCAGGGGCTGTGAGGAGCCTCTGGCTCTTTTGTCTGGCTCCAAGCGCTGCTGCTGGGGTTATCCTGGCAGATGGACCCGCCTGTAATTGCAAATCAAGCAGCCAAAGGCCAGAAGGGTCCCCCATTGGGAGAGCTCAGTTTAAACTAAAAGGCTTTAAATCTCTCTGCACCTGTCACTGGTTTTGGAGCTGGCCTGGCCTCCACCTCCCTGGGCTCCAGCCTTTTTCCTGCTCCCTGGCAGGGCTCAGGCTGGGAGTTTGGGTCATGCTGCTCTTTTCATGTCATGTCTGTGCTTGTTTCTTAAAGCCACCAGGACAAAATCAGGCTGAAACATCATATATATCATCGTGCCTCTGCTGCCTGTGGAGCAGGTACCCAGCCTTCAGCCCTCTTGGGGGGATGCAGCCTCCAGGGCCTGCCCCATGCCTGGAGTGCTGTGCTGGAGCTGTGTGTGTTTGGGACTCTGAAGAACTGAAGTTAGAGACACCTGTTCCAGACACCTTCCTGTTGCTGTGGCCCCTTGGAGCTCTGTGCAGAACAGGGATTGGGGATCTCAGGGGTCCTTAGGGCACCTCAGTATGGGCCTTGGGAGAGGCAGGTGCATAGGGCGGTGGATGCACCTGAGCTCTGAGGACAGGTCTCAGCCTCCCTTCCTTGGGATTGGCCATGTCTATCACAGACTTAAAAAACTGTGTGGGAAGGGACATTTCAAGGCCATCTAGTTCAACCCCCTGCAGTGAGTAGGGACATTTTCAGTGAGCTTAGGTTGCTCACAGCCCCATCCAACTTGACCTGTAATATTTCCATGGATGGGGCATCTCCCACCTCTGGGCAACCTGTGCCTGTGTCTCACCACCCTCACTGTAAGCAATTTCTTCCTTCTCTCTAGTCAAAATCTCTCCCAGTTTACAACCATCACCTCTTGTCCCATCACTACAGGCCCTGCTGACAGGTCTGTCTCCATTCTTACAGGTCCCTTCAGGTACTGGGAGGTGCAGTAGGGTCTCCCTGGAGCCTTCTCCCAGTACCGTGAAATCACCCTGGGGTGTGGGCAGCCCAGAGCAGTTCCAAGAGCTTCCCTTGCATGGAGGACATGTTCCCTTCCCATGAGGTGGGAAGGGTATCCAAGGATGGGAGCAACCCCTGGAGCCCCTGTCTCCACCAGGAGCCCCTTTCTTCCTCCTCCCCAAGCAAGGGGCATCTCCAGTGCCTCATTTTTCTCCCATACATTTATTACACTAATCCACAAGGATTAAGTTAAACCAGTCAACACAAACTCCAGTATTTTCCAGCCCAGTTGGGGCCAAAATTACTGTCCAGTGTTAAAAAGGCAAAGTGGGGGGGGAAGGCTGGGGAGGAGGAAACCCCACAGCCCATGGGGCAGAGGCACTGCTGCATCGGGGTGCCCTGGAGTGGGGCAGGGGATGGAAGCAGGGAGAGCCAGAGCTGTGGTCCAAGGTGGCTGAGAGGAACACCCCAAGGTCCAAGGGGGGGTCCCCAGCGTGCGGCTAGATTTTGGGGCGCCAGCCCTTGATGAACTGCATGATCTTCTTCACCTGGAGCTTGGTGAGATGGAAGTCATCAGCCAGGATCTCCTCGCTGAGCTGCACGAAGATGCTGCCGTCGATGCGCTCGCGGGCGAAGAAGCTGACGACGTCCTCGGAGAGGCCGATGAAGCGCAGGCACTTGGACACCTCCTCCAGCGAGAGGGCCGAGAGGTCGGCGGGGGGCAACCAGGGCGAACCGTCCCCGCTG